GGCCCCTTTTCCCGGTCCGTCCACGCTTCCCTCCCCTTCTTCCGCTGTTTCGCTTCAGAACAAAACAGAAGCTTGGTCCTGGGTCTATACTCCCCCTCGCGCACACACACACAAACACACACACTCTTCCTCTCTCACACACATGCACGCACACACAGGCTCAACGTGCTAGTGCCCGGTACATGTCTGCTAAGACGCCAACACCCTTTCCTCCCCTATCCCCTAACCTTCCATTTCCGCCCTGCTGCTGCCCCCCCCCCCCCCTCCCCTCTCCTGACCCCCTCGCCCTCGGAAGGCCCGCCTGGCGATGTCATCTGCATCTCTTGCAGCCACACGAACCCCCCCCTCTCTCTCTGCTTGCTGGGGCCAGTAGTTCGCTTTCTTAGCTGGCTGGTCTGAGAGGCAACAGCAGCAGCTCACCAGACCGGCATGGCAGGGAAGTTGAAGCCAAAGCCGTGTGGTGTAGACCAGTATGACGGCTGCCCCCCTCTCTCTCTCTCTCTCTCTCTCTCTCTCCCCCCCCCCCTTTCCCCCCTCCGCTAGCTAGTATCACGCTCTGGCACATTTCCATAATTGTCCCTTCCGTCTGTCGGTGTGCGCCGCTGTCTGCTCTCCCCTTTCTCTCCTCTTAGTTCAACCCATCGGGTATTGAATAAAATGTAAAATCCCCCCTTTCCTCCCCCGCTCTTGTCTAGACCCGGGACGCCTTCGCTGCGACATGGTCGGGTCCTACATAGGTTCGCCTGGAACCTGCTGCCTCACATATGATGAACTTGAGGAAGAGAAGGTGTAGTTAAATCGCACACTTTGCATTTTAAGGCTTACCAAACACTTAAAAAAATTGAAAATATGAGAGAATTCATATGTCATGTGGCAACTGTTGAAATATTATTAAAGATGCCAGTAGATTGCAAAAGTCGCTGTTTCTTGAGTAGATTTATTTGTTGTTTTATTTTGCGGAAAGTTATGTCGGATTAATCATACAATAATGTAGTTTAACTATAGTTGTGCTGAAGATGTAGTATGTGCCTCATGCAGGCGAATATTTGTACTCCATTCCTTTTGCGCAATGCGTTAATTTGTGTAAAGAGACAATCTATCACATTGGCGCCCGACAGGAGTGCGGCGTTGGCAGCAAAACGGACACGAATAATGGTTTCGGAAAAGTTCCCAGACAGCCACTGGCGCCGGCCTATACATATGGCTCTGGAATCAGATACCTGGAGTGAGAAGGGGGATATACGATATAGGATGAGAGAAGGAGAGCGGGGACGTGTGTGTGTGTGCGCGCGCGCACTGCAGCAGAGGGGGCTACTACTCGCTCTTGACTGAATCACAAAGTACACAAGAGGACAATGGGAAGTCCCCTCGGCTCATAGCGCGGCGCGCAGCACACAGAGGAGGGGCGCGCTGAGGTGACCCTCTCAATCCAGTGGCCGTGGCTAGCCGCTCTCGAAATCTTTCATAGCCCCAGGGTGGCCTCCCCGGGGCCCGGGGCAGAGAGGCCTGGCCGGGCGCGGCCGTGCGGCGGGGGCCTGGCGAGGCGTGGTGAACACGCCCCCCTCCCCCACCTTCCTCCTCAATGGGCAATCCAGGCCGTGAGGGTCTCCTACAGACCTGCTCTTGGCATCGCTCCATTGTGCACCCGCACCCCCTCCCCCTCCCCAGAGCCATCTCCCGCGACGCCTTGCAGCGCGCTCGCCCGCTCGCTCCGAGATCCGCAGTGGAAAATAGCAGCACTGTATTCGAATATGCAATGCCGAATTGGTCTCATCCGAAAGCGTTTCCCCCCTCCCCCTTCTCGTTGCGCCTCGTCTTCCCATTATTTGATCGCTTGGTCTTGATACCGTACAATCCCCCCACAGAAGCTACGTTCCGCGAAGCTAAAAGAAGGATTTCAGGCGCGATTTAGACTTAGAGCGGAGAGCAACAAGTCGGTACTGCAACCCGCTTCCTCGACGCCGCCAGGCGGACGAAAGGCGGCTGAAAGAGCGAGAACGAACAGAAAAAAACGAAATTTCTTAAGAAACAAAACAGTGAAAGAAATTTCTTACGCCAACTAAAATTTCATGCACGAACGCAGATGTTGTTTTTTTCATAATTATTTCTAATACAAATTTATTCAATTTTCTAAGTTATTTTATGCTTTAACACTCATACTTGTTTCCTCCCTCGATTCTCCCTTTTCTCGAAAATTTGATTGCCATTGTGGCACCACACAGCTCATCAGTTTACGTTCCCCGAACTCAGCAGCGAACCGTTTTTTCCAATAAACTAAATAGTAGTGACCGGGGCCGGTGAAGAGCTAAGAGTGTACCCCCAACCATGAATGTACCGGAATGTACCCCCCAGAAAAAGGGGGTACATTCGTGGCACCATTGCATCAGCTAGGAGGTTGCATTTATGGTGCCATAAATGTGCCCCCTTGGTTCCTTTCTTGAATGAGGTAAATTATTGGCACCCCCCATTGCACCCCCCAGTCACGGTCCTTCAAGGGGGTACAAAAGTGCTGCCATCAATGTACCCCTCCTAAAGAAAGACCTCAACGAAAGGGGGGTCGCTTTAGCTCCCGTTTAGCTTCATTTTATTTCACTTTGGCTCCCCTTTAGCTGACTTAAGAATACTTTAGCTCACCTTTAGCTCGCTTTAGGTAACTTTAGCTCCCCTTTAGCTCGCATTAGGTAACTTTAGCTCCACTTTAGCTCCACTTTAGCTCGCTTTAATTTACTTTAGCTCCACTTTAGCTTGCTTTAGGTAACTTTAGCTCCCCTTAAGCTCGCTTTAGGTAACTTAAGCTCCCCTTTAGCTCGCTT